ATAAACGTGTAAAATAAACATACTTATACTCTAGAAGACAAAGTATTTTTCACAAATAAATAAATATTTAATAAAAATATAATTAAAAAGGAAGTAAACACTGTAACCAACAGGGCACTCAGTATTCTGGGAAGTTTGTGTGCATTGGGAATCATATTTTTTCAAATAAAGCCAAGGTAACACTCATTTTACATACAACGCACAGTGAAAATGACATGAATATGGCAGTGGGCAAATGCATAAAGCTCAGCATAATTTGAAATCAGTCACGAGTTTAAAGTTAGTCGATCGCGCATCTCCAGTGAAGCTGAACTCTCCTCCTGTCCGTATTTAATTCGCACGGACCGACCGCCACAGAACACGCGATCATGCAGGTCACAAATGCACACTTCACAAGATCTCAACTAGATTCGACTAAGTCTGCAAGGTTTGTGAAATTAAATGTTCATTAGTCATTCAAAGATTTGTTTAAATTATATAAATGCGTATCTGCGGAATGCTGACGGCAAACGAGAAAGTATTATAATTAGCCTTTAATATAACTTTTTTTATACATTTTAATTCCTTTGTTTAACAGTTCTATCTGATTATTAGACAAACTTCTATCCGTATTAGACAGAGCTGAAGGACGACAGCGAACAAGAGGGAGAATGTGAGCGGTGTGCGCTCAGGCGCTGCCGCAGCCGTTCTCGGCGCTGTCAAAATAAAAGTCCCGCCTCGAACACATCGGCCAAACAGAAAAACTTATTGGCCTTGGCGATATATCAGTCGACCACTATTTATTAACGTAGTAGAATGAAGCAGGGTGAGGCTGAAAGCCGTCGAAGCGAAACGAGGCGCTGAACGAGCGTGACACAAGGCTCGAAAAGCTCGTAATAAAATAACACAACTATCTTTGAAAAAGTGCATAATGTTTAAAATAACGTTTATAAACCTTATATAATTAAAGTTGCTTAAACAATTAGAAACAAAACAGAATCATGCATGTATGTACAGTTTAATACAAAGGACCGAAAACCAATCACAAAGATTACTTTCTTCATTTAAAAACTTGAGATGCAGTGGGATGGGGGAAACCGCCATAAAGTCTCGAGACATGTTTTTTTAAAAGTTGAGCTTACATTAATTTTACATGGCTTTCTAAACATGCGGCTCTCTTGTGCGAGACGAGAGTGCAACAGTGATAGATGTCCCTCTAGAAAATGTGATAAATGTGTGTTCTGTGTGATCGGTTTGGTTTAGGTTTTGACGTAAACAGCATCATCTCCGCATTGACGTTCTTTTTTCCCCGCAGTATTTTGAATGAACAACGCAGCAGCGCCGCATCTAGTGGGTTCAACTGGATAGACTAACAAAAACATTAAAATGCAATGACACTTACATCGTCGTCGCATTTCGTGCACCACTGCCTGACGCACACCTAAAATTCGAATGCAACATTTTTGCATTCGGATGTGGATTTTTATTTTAAATTCGCCGAATATTCGAAATTCGAATTATTTTTTGACAGCCCTACTTGATACATTTGAAAGTTCTGTTATAATGCTACACTGTGCGGTCGTCACCGGTCTAATAAAACGCACAACATATTAAAGCGTCTTTGGTGTTTCCATGTTTTCTACAAAACCGGAAATCGAGGGGTTGTGACGTCATTGGCAGGCGACACAATGACACTATAGACACACTCCGTGTCACTAGTTAAAATGGCTTATTTCTCTGGATTTAAACATTCTTCGAAACATTTGGGATAATGTAAGTACACAAGTCAGCAAAATATA